GTGAACGCGCGTATGATCGAATTTTTCGAAGGCTGTCGATCGTTCGGATCATTGAAATATCTTGAAACGATCTAGAAATGCCTTAGCTAAATATCAATGACGAAAGTGCACGCGATTTACGTAAGTTCATTGCATTCGAAGCGCGATTCTTTCTATTTCAGTTTTTACTCTTTTTAATCCTATTTTCTACTTACTCCTTTTTCTTTGGTTTTTTAACCCTTTTTTTCCAAATTATATTAATTAAAATATAAAACTGTTAGGTGCATGAATTCTGGTTACCCGAATCATTTATTACGATAATAATGATTTTTTAATCGCTGTAAATTATTCTATCATTAAATTATAATTCATTTTATTCGACTAATTTATACAGAAGACAACGCAAACAGTTTTGAACATGTAATTACTCATTCAACGCTTATACGTCATGATTTTCCTTTGTGCCTGAGAAAAGATTTAATTATGAATTAATGATTTACCAGAAAATTGAATAATTTATCAAAGGATAATTAACTTTTGTATTCAGTATTTGAAAAAAAGTCATTACAAAATCTATTGTAAAAATAATACATTTTTTATTAAATGGGTTACGTTATGTTCATTCGAAAATGCCAAATGCAATTTCATTTGAGAACAATTTTTATATATTTTCTGTATCTGTTATCCAAGTTAGAATGTTGCCGAATACTGATAGAAACACTGTGTAGACCAGGAGCGGTCTTGTCATTCTTAAAATAACGATCGCAGTTAAGAACAGCGTCACTAAGAAAACGTGTCAAAAACACATTGATAGTTTATAAATTGAAAAGTCGTTTAATGCGTGTAACTCTTTTGACCCCGAATCTATTATGATCATTGATATTGGAAATTCTATTTCAATTTCTTTTATATTATTTACTTTTTAATTGCAACCCCCACTGAATTTAATACTGACTCAATAATAGGAACTTTGAAACTAACATGAAGATCGTATACGCTTAATACTTTTACAACTGAGTATTTATAGATAGTTTATGTCATCTTTATGTTATTACTTAGTTGATGATTATATTTAGTTGGTGATACCTACTACCACAATAGAATCTTAATACTGCAATGTTAATGCAGTCTGTTTTTAATCCAGACAAAGTTTCTTTTCTCTAACTCTAAGAATGACTCACACTTATTATTAAACTTCTTAATATTAATTAAACTTTTTTAGATTTAATCTGCTTCACAATATTTTTTATGTTCTTGTAAATATACAATATTTTCCTTGATATATTGTATTTCCTACTATTCGACCAAAGTTCAAACTTTCAATCGAATCGTAATTTTTAGATAATTCTGTTCTTACACTTCATTATCCTCCTAAAATCTCACTAGTTACTATTTATATTAATAAATATTATCTATTACATATTTATGATTCCTTTGAAAGAACTTCCAGCACACTGAGCTATCATTCTCCAATAAATAAACGAATCCAACTCCAAAACAATACAATTAATATCATAGAATATACGTAATAAGATTCAAAAATGAATCTTCAAACCAGCTAAAGTAAAATTCAATCGAAAATGTACGTTTCATTTTCATCAAAGAAAACATCAAAGCAAGTACTTCAGAAACAATTTAACAAGCTACCGCAGCGGGTGTATCTTTAATTTCTTGCGAAACACCCAAGTGCTCCCGCACAACACAGAGACACTGTGCGCGTCTCGTGTATTTATAAATTCTTACTCCTAAAGAAAAGACTTTCTTCTAATACACCCGCGCGATCATTTGCCCGCAAACCTTAAACTTCCAAAGTTCCTATGTAATCCGTCCTAAAAAGAAAAATGAATATCTTTCAAACTCTGATATCCGAATCAAAGAAAACTATCATAAAATGTTAAGTGTCTAGCACTCAATAGTGACGTGGAAGCTTCAAATACTCGTCCTTAAATCGTGGAAACAGTCGGTCGTGTTTGTTTGGCTTGAAGACTTCTGCAAACCCCGCTAGATAAACGGGAAGAAGATTGATCGAAACTATGGAACACGGAATTTGTTTCTCGGCCGGGAGAAATAGACATTGCGTCATCGTGCCGCGCGCCGCGATTCGTCCTCTATACCGGCGGCCGGTACAGCTAGCGCTGCGCCGTAAAAATGGCGACTGCAGGTACAGTTGGCCCACCGCGTCCATGCCGAGCTCCAACAAACTCAAAGTCCACAGAGGTAAAGGGAATCTTCCACTCATGATGCTCGCATCAGTAGTTATAGAACAACAGTTGTTGTTATTGGTGACGCTCTGTATCGAAGAAAGTAGAATAGAATGCGACGGAGTAAAATGTAACGTACATTGACGTGGGATTTCATTTCTGCGCGGCAGCGGATTTTTATGTTTATCAATACAAAGGCCGAGGTGGGGCATGCCGCCGAACGCTCTTGTCCTTGTGCACATTTAATTTGGAGAAACTCGACATGGACGTGATATGGTCCAACGGAGAAGACTTCCCTTGTCTTGAAAGCTAAAAACTTAAGGAGGCAAAGAGACACTGGAAGCGAGACCGAATGCGACGAAGTGAGATGTAACGATTGAAAATAAAATTCACAGTGTCGCTAATTCAATTCTCTACCGTGACATCTCACTCCGTCGCACACGGTCTTGTTTCCATCCCTTATTATTGCCGCGCGCCAATATGATCATGCGTGGAAGACCGAGACAGCCCGAACATCATCAGTGGAAATATCCCCTTGTCTCCCTGCCTTTTTAGCTTTTAGGACAATCGATGTCTTTTCTCCGTTGGATGATAGGCAGTGTAGCCAGATTAGGGAAATTGAGGGGATCACAGTTTATCCTCTCCCTGGCGTTATCACTGGGTTCTGCGGTGGTTGCTGAGGTTGTTGGAGGATGCCTGCTGATGAGGAATAGGGTAGTGGAAAGGGCAAGCCGGAATGGGGAAAATACAACCGTTAGGTTACTTTTTGGCTTCACTGGTGGTAATCCAACTGTGTACTCCCTGTTATTCACGAAGAGAGCCTTGAAAGGAATGTGAGTCTCATTAGTCAACTTCCATCTTTTCTCATCTCATTTTCAATACTAATTTGCCATGGCGGTTATACACAACCAATAAAAACCATAAACAAAATCTCTAGCGGGAGACTCCTATTGCCTTTGTGCCGTCCCGGGGCTCATCTCGTAAACAACGCTGAGTATAGTAGTATTTCGACAAGTAGCCAGACTACTTACAAGTTGAAAAATCAGAGGAGCAGAGAGACTCTTCCTTTCATGATGTTTGGACTTTGATTTCTATTGTCACATCTCACTCCGTTGCATTTAGTCCCGTTCTATCCTTTGTTATTGCCACGGCCAATAACGACCATGCGTCAAAGATCGAAGCAGCACGAACATCGTGAGTGGAAGGGTCTCCCTGCCCCGCTAACTTTTTAACTAGTGGGTAGTGTGCCAACTTGTCGGAGCACCACTATAGCAGCCTGCGAGGACGGCTAAAGGATGCATCACCCGTGTGTCGAGGGACGCGTTGCGCAAACAGCCCGTTTCGCGGACGAACTGAATGAGCCAGCAGTAATAGACAAGCCGATCTTTTCTAATTGTCCGACACGTCGAAGAAGAAGTAGCAAATAGCACGGCGTTTGACCATCGGTCCGATTGGACTTCGGCCATCGCCCCGAGGAGAACCAGAAACTGACATTTGAGGATTGCAAAACCGTCCTCATTTCATTAGAAAGTGTTCCTGTTCACTCTTTTTTTTACCGGATGTTAACACTTAGCCAACCGAATGGGGAGACCTACCGATTCTCCCTTAGTAATGCATTGCCACTTATTTTATTTACTTATCTTTTTTTTGTTATTTTGGTGTTTAGGAAGTTTTGCACTGGAGACATTTGGAGTCCAATAAATACCTTTTTTACTTTCGTAAGACACGATTTTTAATCAATCTGTTGAATGAGTTTAGTTAAAGGTACTAGAAAAGATTATAATTATAGTGTTTTTTAGGCGGCTACCCATGAGTGTTAAGAGAGACCTGCGATTTTGTCTAACGATGTTTGTTACGAATCAGATAAAAAAATGTGAAAAGTAAAATTTCAGATCATTCGGAAATTCGAACGAGTGTTGGAAATTTTGGTTTTTGGGTAAAATTTGTATGAGAATATTTTTAATGAATGTTAGTTGAGTTTTTTTATAGTTTTGTGTAACTTTGGTATGATAATTAATTTTGGAGAATAGTAAATGATAATATTGAATCGATATAAAAATTATGAAATTTGAAATAAAAAGATTATTTTTCCTGCCTCTTAAAAAATTTGAGATTTTATATTGCAAGAATTTACATTATACACTTATAAAATGTTAGAATGAACGGTTTGATTCAGATTCGAATTTACGTTTCTAGAACCATGCGGTTGCGAACTTTGTAATTCTGAATGCATTCTTCCGCTATTTCACGTTTCGGTATACGCTTCAGAAGTATTTATAGAATGTCTGCGAATATTTTAAGATCACAAGTGACTGATATAATCCGTCAAGTATCTAATTTTGATAAAACTATGAGTGCCTGAAGAGGCAGGTACGACTTCCTGAAAACACTATGCATACTAAAAATACTCACAGGAAGGGAATTCTCTTTTCTTTATTAAGTTTCCTTCGGCAACTATTTACTCTTTTCCACTTTGTTCGCATATGGTGACGCGAATTTTGGTTTGTAGCCAAATATTTAACATTTGTAGTGGAATATTAAATAACACGGACTCGATTATAATTCACAATATTCAAGAAAGTTAAAAAATTATAGATACAATACGTTTCAACAGTAGAAAATAGTATTATAGGCTTCAAAAGTCAAATTTCTCTTCGGTAAATTTAATATTTAACTTAATCGTCTAATAATTACGTAAATGATTTCATTATTATCTATGAATAAGTAATTTTTTTAAAATAATGTATCTAGTAATGAATAGATAGGAAGAATTAATGTATTGATCAAATTCCTTAAATTGGTGTACATTTTAAATTACAGGAAACGCGGGGATATACCGATACCATCCGATCGGTACCGAATTCAAATGAGAGGCAATGTCGTTCAATTAACCTTGAAACAAACCCAGAAAGAAGACACCGGCCACTATGCTTTGGTGGCGACGAGGGTCGGGCAAGGGTTGGACAAAGGGTCCCCGAAGAAGATTCAACTCAATATCGACGAATCGTACACCGAGGAGGGTGACCCACCAATTTTCTTGCGCAGGTTAACCGATCTGGCAGTCAAGGTCGGCACCAGAACTCGGTTCCTCGTGGAAATTCGAAGTTCAACGACACCAAAGGTAATTTGAATAATGAATCGTGACGTCAAGCTCGCAGAAAACGTGATTATATTGAACAAATTTTCTGTTATGTGCCACCATTATATTTTCTTCTTTTTTTTAATTAAATTATACATTTTTCAGTGGATTAATTAATATCTTATTTTTATTGTTCATGAGAAAGTATTAAACTACTTTTTGGCACCGTAAAGATCGAACAATTTAATTGCGAGTACGTTCCAGAATCAAATGCCGCGTTTATATACCTGAATACGTGCACGTTACTATTTCTTATAGAACCTTACTCTAAACTTGTACAGTTTATTATAAAAATGATATGACTGTGAACATTGTATTTAAAAACAATCCATAGTTTATACCTAAAAATATTGAAAAAATGATAAATATAAAATTATTATAAAATTTAAAATTCACAAATAAATTATTCTAAAATACTGAATTATTATAAAATTCAAAATACACAAGTGAATCATTCTGAAACATTAAATAACAGTACAGATCTATCCCCAAAGCATATGAATACAGCCAACTCTCATAAAAATCGTTTATCCAACAAATCTTCTTATATTTCAATCTACCGTATTTCTAAATTAATTAAAACGCGGATCATAAAATATTACCCGGACGCAAGAGGAGATGGACTCACACCACTTTCACGATAAACGGCCCGATTGATAGTCCCTCGAGCATGGGGAAGGAGGAATCCGTGCCAAATCCGGTGATTAACCCGGAAGGGTGAAGTAAAATCGGTCGGTGACTTATTGCCACGGGTTTCTGTTGGTCCGTCTGTCCCGGCAGTCGGACGAAGCTGGATACACGAACTAAAAAGGGTTCCCGTGAGGTCCATGACCCGGCCGAGCTTGCGGCAGGAGACGCAAAGGAGAAAACGAAGATCGTTACTCGCGATCTTACGCGTCGTATTACGACTATTATTACTCGGCCACGTACACCATGCCAGAAACTATGCCCGCCGATCGACTAAATCCGCGTGTTCCCGCTCGTAAACCTCCAAATGGCCGTTTTCCCTTGTTAATAGTCTACGCGCGCGTTACGTAACACTCCAAAAAGGAACCTTTGAGATGCCGGATGAGAAAAAAATTCTTGTAGTGTTGGGTTTTATTTTGAGTTTTTATTTCGTTTCTCGACGAAAAATTATTCCGAAAAGGTAGCAACGAAATTTATCCAGTATTAGGAACTTTTGAAAATTCAATTTTCATATATTCTTATAGTGTTAGGTTCTATTCTAAGGTTTTAATTCATTTTTCTGGAACAATTTGTAGGAAAACGTGAAAGTGTTAAAAAATGGAATTTATAAAAATGTGAAAATTCTGAAATAATTCTTTTTGGTAATAAATAGTATATTTGAATTCCTGGTGTTTATCTTGATTCGTCGAGGCTAAGAAACTTGAATTTTAAAGAAAATTCAAGAATATTTAGTCTAGAGATTAAGATCATACTATGTTAGTTATTGAGAAAATGTAAAATTCCTGAATAAAATCTCACTTTTTCAAGATTGATCGTTCGGCATAAATTTTCCGGGAGCTACCAAATCTTTTTCCATTCGTTTCATCATCTTATCAAATACCTTTTTATACGTAAATATTTAAAGAACCGAAAATACTAGCATACCCCGAACACCAAGTTATCTTTACGGTTAAGAAGAAAAAGGAGAAAGACGTTTACTTACATTACATTCACGTCGGTTTTCATAAAAGCGTCGTGCAACTGAACCTTGGACGAGGAATCCCAGTGTTGCGGTTGAAAGCGGCTAGTAAAGCAAGCCTCGAGCATATTCCCCCGTGGCCAAACAATTGCGAGCAGTATATCTCTAATTATTATGATAGCAGGAACTAAGTAGAAATCGTCTGCAATTGTAACTCGATATAGAAATTCCACCAAAAGACATTTACTTAGTATTTAATTGATAATATAGAATGAGATTCCTATTTTCATAAACAAATCTTGAAAATACAAAATCTGCCATTGATTTTTAAAATTTATTATTCATATTTTAACATTACATCAATATTAATATTATCATTGCCAATTTTATAAAAGAAATACTGTGTCCATTTGAATCTACGTTTTTTCTAAAAATTAAATATTAATAAAATAAATAGTATCTTCCTTTGCCTAAAAAATGTAAAAACTATAAATAAAATTTATATAAAGTATTTTTAATATCCTACAGAAATAACTCTGATTAAAATTAAAGGTAACTAGAATTTACCTTGAAGTCAATTGTGTATTGTGTTTTACTATTCTCCAGAGACTATAAATTATATCATGAACAGTAAATTATTTCTTATAAAGTGTAAATGTATAAAGATCCACAGTCTAGTTCTGAGATACGAAATATACAACAATAGAGATCTAATGTATGGTTAGATATTTTTGACCGAGCAATGCATCCTGAAGTCTGTCTCGTTATTTCGGCTGAATGGGCTGAACCTCTGAGGTGCGTGTTTCTCGTTGAATTCCAGATTACTTGGCATCGAAATGCTGAACCGGTACACGCGGGATCGAGGTTCTCTTTCGTCCACGAAGGGAACTTCTACTGCGTGGACGTGGCGCCAGTCACGGTCGAGGACGAAGGATATTGGTCTTGTATGGCGGAGAACCGGGACGGAAGGTCCTCGTGCACTTCCCGTCTGACTGTAATTGGTAAAAATATCCATTTCTATTTATACAATCCAATAATTAATATTTTATTGGATTACTATATAATTTACGGAAATTCTCGGACTACCAAAAATTCTATTTTACAGACATCATTGGATCAGAAATTTTCATTTTACAGATATTATTGGATCAGAGAATTTTCTATTTTACAGATATTATTGGTCCACAGGGATATCTATTTTATAGACATTATTGGATCATAGAAATTTCTATTTTTTGGAATCTCTATTTTGTAGATATTATTAGATCACGAAAATTTCTATTTATGGAATACAAATTACTAATTTGCTGAAATCATAGAAATTTCCATTTTATAGAAATTCTCGAATAACAAACGTTTCTATTTTATAGAAATTGTTGAATAACAAAAGTTTCTGTTTCATAAAAGCCGTTGAATAACAAAAGTGTCTATTTTATAGAAATTAAAAATTATTCAAAGTTCCTAACTGTAATTATTGGTTTTCAAATATTTTGCCATTTCGAAAAGATCAGTATTCTTTTTATATCTTCAATTGCATTTACAAATTATGATGGAACTCTTCTATTACAGTGCCGAAAGCTTACAAGCGACCAGAATTCATCGAGGAACTTCGTGCTCTCCTGACAGAAGCTGGTACAGTGTCCTTAGAATGTAAAGTGGTCGGCGTACCAACACCCGTGTTAAGGTGGTTCAAGGACGACAAAGAAATTAAGGCCGGTGATGTCTTCGCTTTAACTGCCAACCCTGATGACTCAACCTCCCTTGGCATTTACACGTGTGAAGCGGTCAATTGTATGGGAATCGCTTATTCCTCCTCGAAAGTAAGCGATACTTCTCACTTATTCGATATCACTCACCTTCAATGAAACATAATTTTCTGAAAACAAAAAGAAGTCTATTCTTTTCTATATATTTGAATGGATTCATATTTTTTAAATATAAAATAATTACAAATTCTTTTGAAGGAAAGTTTGAAAGACATGTCCACTCGCTGAGGTTACAAACCATTATCACTAATGAGAATCTAAAATATTATATAATTATTTAAAGAAATTAGTATCGCTAATTGTTATAATCTCAAAACAAAAGTTGTGGTTCAGTGCTGTATTTATTAAAATATAAAAAATTCATTGACTATCGTTAACATTGCAGGTGCACGTAGTTGGTAAAGGTAGTAGAGAAGGTTCTTTAAAACCAGCGGACTCCTTAACCCTGACTAGTCCACTTCCTGTCTTCAAACAAATCCTAAAGGACGAATGTTGTCGAATTGGGGAAACACTCCGTCTTGCTTGTCAAGGTATAGAAATTAAAATGTTACTTTTTTAATTGTTCTTTTCATAATCAAAGTATCTACAATTTACTTTTTATACTAAAATATTAACGAATAAATTTTACTTGAAATTAATATGTATCACTGTTTATTAATTTTCCAATTCTTGCAGTAAAAATTATTTATAACTCAACACAGTAATTACATGATCTGTTATCTTCACAAATTATACAATCTTTACAAAAAAATATTTAAAGAAAATTACAAATAAAATTTCCATTACGTTATTGATAGTCGAAGTACCACCATGGCCAAAAGCAATCACTTGGTACAACAAGGAAGGTCGCGTAGAACCCAGCGACAAATATCATGTAATGGAAGATGGCCTCGGTGGATATTGTGTAGAAGTATATCCGGTGGAAGCAATGGATGAAGGCGAATGGAAATGTGTCGCAACCAATGCAGAAGACATGAAACAATTCACTACTTGCTATGTTGCAATGTCCAGTAAGCACGAAAAAACATTTCTCTCAAATTTCCATAAATTAAAAATAAAAATATCTCCTTAAAATGAATGCAACACAATTCGAAATTTTTGAAAAATATTCTTCAAATAAATGAACACGATTTTGTTACTTATAAATAAATACAATTTTTAAAGTTTTGTACATTATATGTACATATCTTTTTATATATTATTTTTAGTTATTTTATTTTAGTTTATTTGGAATTATACATTACATATTATGTATTATTTAAAATTTATTTTTCTAAATGCTTTTTAAAATTTTACATTTTTAATGATGAACATTTTGTTCAGTTCCAAAGAATTATAGGAAACCTCGCTTCATGGAGAGTTTAAAAGCTGTCTTGACAGAAGAAGGATTGGTATCCTTTGAGTGCAAGGTTGTCGGGTTTCCGACGCCATTGCTCAGATGGTTCAAAGATGGCCAGGAATTAAAACCGGGTGACGTTTATCAGTTGACTGGAACCAACTCTTTAGGTATTTATTTTTAACAAATTCTTTCTATGAATTTCATAGAATTTTATAGTAAATGCATTTACGTAAAATCAGTAGAATAAATGTCGTTTACAAAGAAAACTAATTCTATTTTTGATAAATTATCTTCTTCATATTTTATGCGCACACAATTTTTCTTAATAATCATCTGCTTTATTTTTATATTCTTCTGTTAATTGTGGAACATCCTATATACTTGTTTCATTGATTTTTGATTTCCAAAAGGTTCTTACTGCTGCATAGCCAGAAATTGCATGGGAGAAGCAACGAGCACAGCCGAATTAACGATCGAAGATATTCAGAACCAACTGAACGAAGAAGAACGTCTGCAGCTTCTGAGCACCAACCAACCGCCCTCGTTTATCAAGGGTCTCAGGAGCTGCGAAGCAAGAATCAACGAAGATTTCCGATTTACTGTCCAAGGTACGTCGATGAAGATTATTTTGCACTAATTTTTAATTACACATTCCTGTTAGGAATATAAAGTATGTGATTATATAAGAAATATAATAATATAAATAAATGGAAACAATAAACTGAAAATAAAAGAACAATATAAACAAAAATGCATGCTTGATATTGATGCGATTTTCGTCGCTGTAATATGTCAAACAACAAATCTTAAGCAAATAATTAAATTTACAGTCAGCATTGCGCCCGAGCCAAGCCTTTCTTGGTACAGGGACGACGTTCCGGTGGATGAGAACGAAAAATACCACGTTGCCAAGGAGAATCTTGGCACGTGTCACCTCGATGTAGGAAGACTCGAATTTGTCGATCAAGTGAGTATGTTTCTCTGTCAAATAAAATCAAACGAACAAGCAATACACGTGTAAGAATACATTTAAATCCCTGTTACAGGTATACATGATTTTTTTGAAATTTTCATTTGAATTTTCGCAATCTTACATCAAATGATCCATTCCAGAATTTTCTAAATAGAAATTGTATCGTACTAGACGCCGAAAAGGAAAAATAGATGTTGTATTGCTTTATTTTCTTTATACTTGAATTTGAAATCATTTAGTTTTACCATTGAAATAATTTCTTGCATATATATAATTATTTAATCGATGATAATTATATGAAAAATGTGTAAAATGCGTGTATTAACAGGAATCTTTAATTGTTCTCATTTCTCTGGTAATATTTAGGCAGAGTGGAAGTGCGTGGCTTCCAATGATTTTGGTTGTAGCGTTACATCCTGTTTCCTCAAACTAATCATTCCCAAGCACTTCAAGAAGCCGAAGTTTCTTGAAAGTTTGCGCGCCATATTGTCGGAAGAGGGTGCAGTGAATCTGGAGTGTAAAGTGATCGGTGTACCGCAACCAATTCTGAAATGGTACAAAGATGGCGTCGAATTGAAACCAGGAGACATACACAGAATCATTTCGGGACAAGATGGAACGTGCTGTTTAGGAACGTACACCTGCGAGGCTACGAATTGTATGGGATCGGTCAGCAGTTCTGCATCTCTTCTAGGTTTCGAAGGTATCTTAAATAATTGTATTAAAATTACCGAGCAGAGCGTCGATACAAAAAATGATTTAATACAATCTTCGATCGTTTAAATACACAAAAATACTATTAATGAATAATTTAACTCGCTTAGTTTTAATATGAAAAAGTAAATCAAAAGTATATACTTTTATCATTTTAAAATGAAGTTTTACCAATTCTAAGTTCCTAAACAATACATATTTTAAATTCTGTTAATTATAATTACTAATTATGATATATAATTTTAATTATAATTATCAAGAAAAGTATAGTAATATGAAAGTATAATAATTATAATTATAATCTAAATCATTTGTTTCACAACTTGTGAATAGTAAAACATGAAATATTCTTTCCAAGACAAATTGCCAGTTCGAAAGGAAGTGAAAGAAGTACAATCGACGAATGGTCACGAGCTGGCCAGAAACTTGTCGCTCTCGACGATACACGAAGAGAGAACTTCTCAGCTGTACGATACACCGCAAACCGATCATTCCGTGACGTTAGACGATCGAGGAGAGGTGTCCTTTAGTTTCGATGGAAAAGAAGTCTCCGTCAGCCTCTACGAGACACCCGATCTCACTGAAGAAGAAGCTCTTCAGATTGTCGAGATGTATGCTGATCAGCTGTCCGAACACGTAACAGGTGATCACGATATACTTGCTCTTCTACTTATCTTCTATTTACCAATAAAGAGACTGTTATACTTAACATATGAAATAAAATTTTAAAAGATCAATTTACCATTGAACATTACATTCTCGTTCCCAATTAAACATAAACCCAAACAGTGCACTGAAAGTAACAATCTACTTCTCCGTACTTTCAGAGCACAACGTCATCGAACTGCCACCAATGAGGTTCGTCAAAGAGTCCTCCACCTCCGGAAACTTGTTAATGGAAGCAGTAGTCATCGACGTGTCACCAGACTACTTCGTCAGCGCGGAAGACGGCGACGATCTCCGCACTGAAGCTGACTTCGAAGATGTCTCAATCCTAGACGACATCACCAGAGTCCTATCATCCCCCGAAAGAGACTCCCGCAGCTCCTTAAAGAGATCAGCGAGATACAGTTTAGATGACGACGAGAAACCTCCATCGAGACCTCCTCGAAAAAAGTCCAGCTCCTCTTCAAAAAGCGATAAGAGCGAGAAAAGTCAGCGGATGGAGTCAGAAAGCTTCCACAGCGCCCAAAGAGAAGAAAGATTCTCCCCAGTGTCCCCAATTTCACCAGTATCCTCCCTAAGACAGGACGACAGCGACACTTTCGCGGATGCTTTGTCATCCGCCCGCCTCTCCATCTCGGAGACCCAAGCACAGAAGATGTACGACTACGCGGAAGGCCGCAAACGCAGTCTAAGTGGCGAGAAGACAGCTGGCTCTAGCATAGACGACGGCATAGGCGGTGATTCGTCGTTCGACTCAGTGACTGGAGCGGCTAAGAAGAAGCGGCACAGAAAGAAGAAGCACAAACGTGACAAAGGTAGCTCGGAAGAGTCTTCTTTAGGCAGCGAGATCGAAGGCAAGCGGCGCAGAAGTAGATCAGGCAGCGTTAAAGAGGAACTTCATCAACGAGTGGAGTCTATCCTTAAAACAGAGGAACCGTACATAGAGGATGTAGCAGAGAAGTCGTCTGAAAAGAAGCAGTCCACCAGTGAATCTGATAAGTCCATGTCGAAGAGCAACAAGGAAAGATTGCTGGACAGCTTAAAAAAGCTGAAGGACCCTGTTCTAACTGTCCGAGACATTTTAGTGGACATAGATAACTTGGACTCTCAGTTGAACGTAGCTAACGAAGAAGCTTGCAGGAACTTTGTGACTGAGAATATCATCAAACCAATTCAGAATCTTTGTGAAGAAGTGTCTTCGATAGAATCGAAGGCCTTGAAGAGTGCTGGAGATAGGTCGCTAGCTCAGACAACTAGGATATCTTTGCTGGAATCAATTGGTGGGCCAACAGAAGAACTTTTAAGGGGTATGGAGTTAATTGAACGCCAGGAGAACGTGAAGAGCAGGAAAGCGGATGTTATAGGTATCTTGGAGAGTCTCACTGATCCTGTCGACGAGATCTTGATGGGTATAACTAAGATTGAATACGAGACGACTGGCAGGGCTACTGGAGAGAGACCTATAGCTCTCATCAGGATGATGTCCGCAGTGTCCAAGCTTGACGAAACGGTTAAAAATATTTCTAAGATGGACAAGACTGAATCCAGATTAGTTTTCAGCGTGGAAGAGATCCTGAACACCTTGCATTTCTTCGTAAGTGACGTTGCTGTAGATCCAGCTAAAGGAACGATAGAAACTGTGGACACTGTGGTAGTGGAGTCCTTGTCGAAGTCTGTTGATGATATTACTAAAGCCTTGAATCGCCTACCGATGGTTGAAGGGATACCCAAATTCACGGACGAATTAATATTACCCATCCGGGAATTGAAAGTGAAATTGGATACCTTGAAGAACGTGTTGAAGACTTACGAATCGAAAGGAATATTATCGGAGCATCGAACGAAATTGATAGAGTCTCTGCAAGATTCAGTGGATCAAACTGTGGAAGAGATTCAGAAAGTAAAGGAGAAGAGACCTGAGGAGAAATTACAAATTGAAGATTCGAGACAGGATATTTTGAAAGAAGCAAGGTTGACACTTCAAGAAGCCTTAAAATCTTACGAGAACATCGCAGGAACATTGGACCCAAGGCTGTCTACTATCTTCGATCGAATCGATGAGATGTATCGTAGACTTAGGGTTCCTCAGAAGAAAGAAATTGGTTTAGAGTCCTTAATTAGTTTAGAAGGTCCCCTGTATTCCCTACAATGCGCTCTGTCCTCAGTGGCCATAGCAGAGAATTCAGAAATAGTTTTCAAGCTCCTGGAACCTGCAATTTCGCAGCTGAGAACCACTGTGTCTAACCTAGGTGAGAATTCCTTGCAACCAATAATGGAAACCTTGAATAACATAGACAGAATGATCCAAGTGACTGAGCCAGAAGAAACAGTCTCTTCTAGGTCGGTCCAAGAGGAAACCCTGACAGACCGAATCCTCGATCCTCTAATTGACGTTCAATCAGCTTTAAGCGCAGCACTGCAAAACGTCGAAGATGTTGATACTGTGACAAACGGAGCTGCTAGTACTCAGAAACTGTTAGCTTCATCAGAGATCACTGCCTGTTTGGTAGAACTGAGACAGTACGTGTCGGATGCTACTCGAACAGCGATGACTCTTAGAGAAGATGAAATGATGATGAGTCTGGTGGATTTAAAAGAACCTTTATTAGACCTTCAATTGGCTTTAGCGTCTGAAGAAAGAACTACTCAAGAGCTACCAATGATTCGCAGGATACCTTTGCCTGTTGAAAAGCTGAAGAAGGCTGTATTGAAAGTCTTGCGTCATTCTCCCTCTGAAAAAAGAGCAAAATCAATGAACGTTGTCTTAAAAACGATAGAACAGATAGAAACTCAATTACCAAAGACTATATCTAAATTATCAGAAATTGAGGATTCTCAGAAACACTTCCTAGAAGATTTGAACGTGGATCAGAACCTCAGTGACGTTCACTTTGCTTTATCTTCAGCATTGGAAAGACAAGAGAAAAGTTTTCCTTCGCATACGTCGAATTTGGCTGCTTGTATTGAAGAATTGAGACAGTCTATAGGTTCAACAGCAGTGGAGATAGCTAATTTGAGGAATCCAGTGGACGATGACATCATTATACAAGTATCTATGCTGAAAGATGCTTTGTTAACCCTGCAGAGAGTTCTGCTGACCCAGCAACACGCCCCTGAAGAGGAGCAGATTTTGAAAGATCTTATGAATCCCATTGGAAAATTAAAGAATCTTGTCAGAGGAATCACAAACACTGATGCTAAAACTGAACCTGTTGTTCCAGTACTCGAGTTGCTAGAAGAAATTGAAAAGGACACTCCCCTGATCACAAAAGAAACTTCCAAGAAGAAACTACAAAGGGAGATGAAAGAAGAAAAAGAAGAGGTAAAGTGGCAGGCTGTAACATATCGTTTAGCAGGACGGATCAGTCGATCATTGGATCCTATGAAACACTGGTTATCAACCACATCAGAAGACAGCATGAAAGATGAGGAAGAATCAGCATTGAGCTCAACAATCGACGAGCTGAAAAGGGATGTGAACAAGATTGCTATAGAGACTTCCTACTCCGAGCCTCCTAGCGACGATAATCTCATTGAGGCCTTGGTGGATCTACGAGAACCTTTGATTAGGCTCAAGAACGCGATTTCAATCTACCATGAGCCAGTAGACTTAACTACTTTAGAAGGTTTGAGCAGACCCATGAAATACCTCCTTCAAACCATCATGGACGTTCTCAAGGACCATGCTCAAGAAGAATCTCTGCAACCGATAGTAGACATTGTAGAAGAGATTGAAAATCAGATACCGATCTCCATCAAAGAAGCATTATACAAGAAAGAGCTGAGTGAAGTAGTTAAGTCGCTGGTGCAGGAAGAAAAAGAATTGATCACCTCAAAGGAAACGATTCAAGAAGAATCTTTGCCACAGGATGTAAAGGAAGAAGTGACATCTCAGGCCACAATTCCTGAAGGAACTCTGGAAACTACGTCTGTTCTACCTGAAAGCAAATTCTCCGAGTCCCTGGTGGAACAAACTACCGTAGAAGACATGAGTTCACACAGATCTGAGGAGATTGTTACTAGAATTGAAGAATTGCCGAGGAAAGAGGACTTGAAGAGCGAAAAGATGAAGAAGAAAGAGGTAGTCGACCTAGCAATCTCTTTGTCAAAGACACTGGAGAACGTTCAGTTCGATGTCACTGGAATTTTAGAAGACTTCGATGACCCAACTGCTGGCAGTGCAACTTTGCCAACTTCTGCGTTAGCTAACTCATTAGAGGAATTCGTCAAAGCTGTTTCTACGATGCGTGTGGTGATTGGTAGCTACGAAGAGGCGATTGAATCTTCCGATCAAGTAGCTAATCAGACAGTCTCCATGCTTCAGAATCTTCTGCAGCCTTTGAACAACATTGAGGACGTTCTTCTAGAAACTCATCAGTACGGTGTGCAAGAGCTTTTCATTTTGAACCACCTGGCACAGCCCCTGGAAGAAATCGAAAGTAAAATGGTGAACCAAACTATAGAGAAGCTGGACAGAGCTTCGGATGTGGTACAGAGATGCGAGCCTGTTCTTCATGCTATACATAATATTAAGGACAAAATACCAATTGCAGTGCGAGACATACAATCCAGGCAGCAGCTACTAGGTTCACTGAGAGAAATCGCAAAGCCCCTCGAAAACATTCAGGAACGAATGAAGGTCCTCGAGACACAAGCTGAAGACACTTTAGAAACTGACGTAGCTAGGATCCTTTTAAATCCTGTACAAGTTTTATTAAACACTATCAACGCCACCTCCCAAGATGTCCAGTTACTAGATCAACGCAGAGAAATCGTCATGGAGCTCAGAAACTTAGTGGAACCCTTAGTGGAATTCTTGAGCTGTTTATCAGTGGTTCAAAGCAGTCGCAAGAGTTTGGTGCCAGAAGCAGCTTTACTGGATGAAAGGAGGAATGTAATCCTCAAAGCAGTCGAAGGACTTCAAAGGCAGACTATCAGCACTCTGGAAGGAATACCTAATTTAGAAGGAGCATCGCTGTACGAGAAACCACTGGACACGTTGAAAAATGCAATAGTCTCTGTTCAGAAACAAATAGGCAAGACAGATTACTCTAGAAGACCTAGCAACGTAGAATTCACTTTGCAGTATAACATTTCGACTTCACTGGACCATTTAAGAAGCACTATCGTGTCTTTAGAGGAGGATGCAGATGTGGGATTGAAGGAGATCGTTTCGAAGTCCCTGAAAGCCTTGCAGAAGCAAATATCTCTATCAAGGACATATTTCATTGAAGCTAGCAGTGATCAATCCGTCGATGAAGAAGCAGTCGTTGAAGGTTTCTTGTACCCTGTCAATCAGCTTCAGTCAGCTTTGAACGTACTCAGAGAAAAGCTTGAAGGTGGAGCGATGATATCGATTTCGAGTGAATCGATGAGACGTTTGAAGAGTTTAGCTAAATCTACGTCTGACTTAGCTTCCTCGTTGTCCGCACACCGGATACATCTGATCAGGGAAGGCGCATCTGAAGGATCCTCATTCGTTGAGACATTGTCCGCTCTTGCAGATGTTTTGGAAGGTGTAAATGTTTGCATTAGAAAAGTTGAAGAAGTAGCTATCGTAGAAGAAAAAGCAGCCGAGGATCGAGGCGCTTCAGCGGACATGCCAATTACTATAACGCAGATAGAGACGATCGTGGATGAAATTATTGAAGTTTCTAAGGAAGAATTTGAAAGTGTGCTGACAATTGAAGATGTGCCACGTAGGGAAGAGATGAGAATCAATGAGGCGAGACTTGTGGAACAGGTTCAAAGGGAAAGTGTGTCGATGGAAGATGACTTAGCTAGGAAACTCGAAACTGAAGCTTTAGAGTCAGAAGCGATGAAGAAGGAGAGAATGAAAGTAGAAGAAAAAGTTATGGAGTCTGGAAACTTAAACATCGAAGAATTAAAAAGTGAACTAAACAAAGAAGAGGTGAAAGATGATCAAAAGGTGAAAGCAATAAAGACGAAAGAAGAATTGCTGAAGAAACAGAAAAAAGAAATAAAACTGTCGTCTGAGAAATCAGAAGAAGAGTTACTAAGAGAAGAAGAGGAAACAAGGAAAGAAACTAACAAGGCGAAGGTGCAAAGAATGGTAAAATTGATTCTGTCAATGGAACAACCGTTCAAAGAATTAACAACTCTTATGCGTCTAGCCCTGGAAGAGCCAGTTTCCTCCAAGTCAGAAGAAGAAAAACGAAAGATTCGAGAACTGACTGCCCTCGTCCAAATTTTGAACGATTTGAAAGCTACAACTATCTCTATCGAACAGAATACGTATTCTTCTTTAATTCCAGAGTTAGAGGAACAGTTTCTTTGTACGCTAGACATTTTAATGGGTGTTAGGCGAGCTGCAGAAAAAGTTCTTTGCTTGACTCAGAAAGAACTGACACCAGCGTTAAAAGAAAATGTGATGGTGTCTTTGCAGTTCTTACTAGAACCTCTGGAAACTTTACAGCAGAATTTGTCTAGCTTCGAAGAATCATCTCTTCATCTACAAATGAGAGAAGTAAGTGGAGCAATTTTCGAATTGGTGAATGTCATTCGTAGAACTACGGAACTGAAGCACGAAAAAGTCCTGGAAGAAATTAGAGTGACAAGATCACAGGAAGAAAGACAAGGAATCGAAGATGCAACTGCAAAGCCTTTGCAAGAGCTGATAGAAGCTATAATGGTGTCTCAAGAACAAATAAAACGCGATGACATGTCTCCATTTGGTTCTATATCGCCTTCAATTGCACCGACTGATCTATCCGAGCAACAGAAACTAGTTAGTGACAGCGAAAGCAGATTGGACACAGACCTAGTCGAGAAAATAGTCAGTCCTATTAAGAACTTGAGAGAATTGGTCGCTAAAATCGAGAAAGAAGAAATGGAAGAAACCGAAGAATTGGATCTAGCGACGAAAAGGACAGCTACTTATATATTGAACACCATCATTCAGCCATTGGAAGAACTGAAACAATCTTTGAGTGTCTCTGCGGAGCAACAAACAGTGGAAACTGAAGAAACTGTACAGGAAATTAGGGCAGTTTCACCAGTGCAATCGTTGACAGTTGGAAGTGTTTTAGAGGATCTCCAGAGGTCCATTGCTAATATACAGGAAGAAATAATTCTGGAACAAATGGAAAAGGTTTCCAAAGTGGAACGAGAAGTTAGTGTAAACGAAGTAGAAAAGTCTCTTGAAGATCTGAAATTTTCTTTGGGAGCTGTACAAAAGTTGGCAACAATTGAGAGTGAACACTCAGAACAATTATTTGAAATGGATAGAACAACTGTCGTGGAAACGTTTGTTAAATCAGTGAAGGAGCTCGGTCAAAAATGCTTGGCAATTGCCAGTTTGCCTGAAACAAGAGTTATGTCAACGCAAAAAGAACAAAAACAAGAATTACGAAAAGTGATTGATATATTGAAGGAAACTACATCTGAAATTGAAATGCACACAGCGCAAGAAATTACAGCTTCAGATCAAACTGGCATGGATGTAGTGGAAGCATTGCAACCTTTAGTGCATCCTCTAGAAGAATTGGAACAGGTGTTAAGTACAGCAGTGCAGCAGGTGACCACATCGTCACCGGAATTCGTTGACGAAATTGGAGAAGAATTATCTTTGGAAACAGTGAAACTGATTCCAATTATGGAAGAACTGCAAAAATCCATCGCTGTAATTGAACAACAGTCTGTGCAGGCTAAAAAAGCTGAAGTGTCAGAGCTAAAAGGTAAAAGCTCTGTTGCTCAAATTATAGAAGCTCCATTAGAAGAATTAAAATGTTCAGTAGAGGCTATTCAAAAGTTAGAATTGGAAGAAGCTAAGCAACTGACAACTGAAGAGAAAACAGAGGCTTTGAAGGCGGTAGCCAAATGCGTGGAAGAAATAGGGAAAGTGTGTTCAGTTGTGACTAGCCAACAGAAAGCCCAAGTGAACTTTGTTGAACAGCCTCAAGCAGCGGAAATGCAGCAAGTCCTTGAAACTATCACCAGTCCAATTCAAGTACTAAAGGAAACGATGTCAGAAATCGAAATGCAAACGACTGAAGAAGCTAAAGCTTTAGACCAAGCTAGCAAAGAAATAGTGGAAGCCTTAAAACCACTAGTACACCCATTAGAAGACTTTGAGCAAGCATTAAGCACAGTTGTTCAACAGGTTGCCACAGTAACACCTGAGTCTGCTACTGAAATCAAGGAAGCTGCCTCATTGGAAAAGATGAAACTGACTCCAGTTTTGGAAGAACTACAAAAATCCATTGCACTAATTGAGAAGCAAGTTTTAGTGCAGGTTAAGAAAGCCGAAGTGTCAGTTGTCGAAGATGAAAGTTCACTTGCTCAAATTATAGAAGCTCCAGTAGAAAAATTAAAATCCTGTATGGAAGTTATTCAAAAAATGGAATTGAGAGAAGCAAAAGAACTAACAGCTGAAGAGAAGACGGAGGCCTTGAAAGCAGTAGCCAAATGTGTGGAAGAAATAGGAAAAGTATGTTCAGCAGTGACCACTCAACAGAAAGTCGAAGTTAGTGCTGTTCAGCAGCCACAGGCAGCTGACCTGCAGGGAGTTATTGACATCATTGCCAATCCACTTCAAGTATTAAAGGAGACAGTGTTAGAAATTGAAATGCAAACCAGTGAAGAAGCCAAAGCCTTAGATCAAGCTACCAAGCACGTAGTGGAAGCGTTAAAACCATTGGTACATCCATTAGAAGACCTGGAACAAGTATTGAGTACCGCAGTTCAGCAAATTATCGCAGAATCTACTGTTGAAGCACAGAAAGCTGATTCATCAGCCGAAAAAATGCAACTGACACCAATTTTGGAAGAACTACAAAAGTCCATTGCTGTAATTGAAGAACAAGTTTCTGTACAAGCTCAAAAGGCTGACGTATCAACTGTGAAAGCTGAGAGTTCTGTTGCTCAGATTATAGAAGCCCCATTAAAGGAGTTGAAGAACTCTGTGGAAGCTATTCAGAAATTGGAACTGGAAGAAACTGTACAACTGACTACTGAAGAGAAGACAGAAGCATTGAAGACAGTTGCCAAATGTGTGGAAGAAATAGGAAAAGTGTGTTCAGCAGTAACTACTCAACAGAAAGTTGAAGTCAGCATTGTTCAACAATCTCAAGCAGCTGAATTGCAGCAAGTCATTGACACGATCGCCAGTCCAATTCAAATACTAAAGGAAACAGTATCAGAAATTGAAATGCAAACCACTGAAGAAGCTAAAGCTTTAGATCAGGCTAGTAAGAACGCAGTGGAAGCTCTGAAACCATTAATACACCCATTAGAAGACTTAGAACAAGTATTGAGCACTGCAGTTCAGCAAGTTATCACGGAATCTACTGATGAAGCTCAGAAGGCTGATTCATTAGTCGAAAAGGTGAAACTGACACCAACATTGGAAAAATTACAAAAGTCCATTGCTGTAATTGAAGAACAAGTTTCTGTACAAGCTCAAAAGGCTGACGTATCAACTGTGAAAGCTGAGAGTTCTGTTGTTCAGATTATAGAAGCCCCATTAAAGGAGTTGAAGAACTCTGTGGAAGCTATTCAGAAATTGGAACTGGAGGAAACTGTGCAACTGACTACTGAAGAGAAGACAGAAGCATTGAAGACAATTGCCAAATGTGTGGGAGAAATAGGTAAAGCGTGTTCCGTCGTTGCCAGTCAGCAGAAAGTCGAAGTTAGTCTTGTCCAGCAACCACAAGTGGCTGAATTTCAGGAAGTCATTGAGGCTATCACCAGTCCAATTCAAATACTAAAGGAGACTATGTCAGAAATTGCGATGCAGACGACTGAAGAAGCCAAAGTCTTAGATCAAGCTGGCAAAGACGTAGTGGAGGCTTTGCAACCTCTGGTACATCCTCTGGAAGAATTAGAACAAGTATTAAGCACAGCAGTCCAGCAAGTGATCACAGTGTCTTCTCAATCAGCTGACCAAGTAAAAGAAGATGCATTAGGAGAAATGAAACTATCTCCAGTTTTAGAAGAATTACAGGAATCCATTGCAGTCATCGAACAACAAGTTGCAGTGCAAACTAAGAAAGCTGAAGTATCAGACGTGAAAAGTGAAAGTTCTGTTGCTCAAATTATAGAAATTCCATTGGAAGAATTAAAATCCACTGTGGTAGCAATGCAGAAGTTAGAGTTGGAAGAAACGAGAGAACTGACAACTGAAGAAAAGACAAAGGCTTTGAAGGCGGTAGCTAAATGCGTCGAAGAAATAGGAAAAGTATGTTCAGCTGCAGCTACTCAACAGAAAATTGAGGTTAGCCTCATGCAACAACCACAGGTAGCTGAAATGCAACAAGCTCTTGAGATAATTTCGTCTCCTCTTCAAATGTTACATGAGACAGTATCTAAAGTTGAACAGAAGATGCAAGAAGCTGAAGGTTTGCAGGTTTCTGAAACTGAAAAAGTAGTTGCTGTGTTGAACACATTGGTTCAACCTCTAGAAGAATTAGAAAAATCCTTATCCGTGGCTGTTGAGAAAACAAGTACCCTCGAAGAAGAATCAACGAGGGAATTAAAAGATTCCTCATTAAAACTGAATATTGAACCAATTTTACAAGAACTTGAAAGATCCGTTGCAGAAATCGAAGATCACGTCTACCTAGAATCAACAACAATGGTAGGAAAAGGTGCATCAGAAGGTTCCATAGTAAAAGAATTGAAAGAACCATTGGAACAGTTGAAGTTATCCTTAGCTGCTGTCCAAGATACTATGTCTATCGAAGTTGCTCAAACAGCTGATATGCCGGATAAAATCTCGACTTTGACAGCTTTCGCGAAGTCAGTGGAAGAAATTGGTGAAAAATGTTTAGCAGTGATTTCACAGCAGCAAGTTGGCGTACAGTTGGTCCCAAAGAAATTAGAAAAATCGCAGGTGGAGATCCTAGAGATGGCGATCAATCCTCTACAAGTATTAAGAGAATCGATTAGCAACATCGAAGAAGGAAAATTGGGAGAACTACATAGTTTAGATACATCAGAAACAAGCGAAGTACAGAAAGCGTTAAAACTCCTTGTGGAACCTCTGCAGAAGCTAGAAATCTCTTTGTCTTCGACTGTCCAACAGGCTGTGTCAACGGAATTTGAGAAAGCTGAAGAAATCACAGGCCAAGTTCAAATACTGGAAATTTCTCCTGCGATAGACGAGCTTCAAAAATGCGTTGCAGAGGTTCAAGAACAAGTAAAACTGCAAAGTACAGCTGCAGAATCCTCTGTGCAAGCGTCTTTCTTCGTGGAAGCTGCCAAAAAGTCTTTGGACGAGTTAAACGCCTCCCTGACTATTATTCAAAGGGCTAGCACCGTTCAACCTACAGGAGAGGAGAAAGTGTCAAAGATGGAGAAAAAAGCAGCTGTACAAGATTTCGCTAAATCAGTCCAAGAATTCGAAGAAATGTGTCTGATAATTCCTCAGCAACAAATGTATACGAGAAAATTAAGGAAAGTGGACACTAGGGTCTTACAGACAATTATCACGCCTATTCAAACTTTGCGCGAAACTATAGTGAAAGTACGCAAAGAGAATGTAGAACAAGTAGGTGTTATAAAAGTTGAAAATGCGAATATCGAAACATTGACTCCATTGATGAATCCTCTTGAGAAGTTAGAGAAATGTTTGGCAACCACAGTGCAGCAAGCAACAGGTCAGAAGGCTGAAATCACTGAATTACCAAAGGAAGATCCTCAAAAAGCGATTGCCCTTGAACCAATTCTTGAAGAACTGAAAAAAAGCATTACCGTGGTCGAAGAACAATTAACAGACACCTCGAAAGTATCTTCGAGGCTGAAATTCGCCGAAAATATCAAAGACGCGATTTCAAAGTTGAAATCAACCGCGGCAGCTGTCCAGAAAGTAGTAAAATCTCCGCTAGAAATTAATGAAGAAATGAAGTCAGATCAGGCGTCTCTTTTAAGAGACTTCTCCCAATCATTAAAACAGTTACAAGAAAGCTACTCGGTTGCTATGAAACAACAGGAAATAGAAAAACAACCAGAGAAAGTTAAAAAACGTAAAACAAGAACGGTGAAATCGGAGGTTCTTCAGAAGATCAGTGACACTGTTCAAGTATTCCGTGAATCCCTTTCGCAGATAGAAGAAAACAAAATAGAAGAATTGAAAGAACTAGAAGTGATAAAAGATGAGAAAGCTGAATTAAAACTGCAAGTACTTATCGAGCCACTAAATGCTTTGGAACAAGTTCTGCGAACATCTGTTCAAGAAGGCGCGATGATTTCTTCAGAAGCTTCCGAAGAGCTCAGGCAAGATGAAGTTCCTTTGGAAAGATTGAATTTACAGCCGGTACTTGAAGAACTTAAAAAATCAATTGTCGTTATTCAACGACAATCTAACGAAATCGCAGCATCAGCCAACATTGAAATGCTAGATCTCGCGAAAACAGCTGAGAAACCTTTATCCGAGCTAAAAATGTCCATTGCAGCGATCGAAGAAATCACGAAAACTCTAGACGAAGCTGAAGAAATTAAAACGGACGAACAACCACCTTTCGAAGCCTTCGCAAAGTCGGTAGAAGAATCAGGAAAGCAATTGGTAACGGTAGCCAAGCAAGAAGTCAAGAAAATGGCGGACACCCTAAGAGAGAAGAAGACAACTCGCGATTTCGTTAAAACTGTCATCGCGCCAATTAATGAATTGCAGAATACAATCTTGAACATCGACAAAGAGAGGAAAGAATCATCAAAATCCTCTGAGAAAGAAGCAATACTTCTTTTGAGCATCGTGCAGCCGCTGCATCAGCTGGAAGAATCATTTTTATCAGCCGTGCAAGAGAGCCAAGCTGCCATTCCAGTGTTGCAGAAGCTTCCTATAAAGACTACCATACAGGAACTCACTAAACACGTAACGGAGATTCAAGAACAGTTAGTCCTGGTCAACGGAACTCTATCTTTAACTGGCAACACAGAAGATATATCACTAATAAAGAACATCGAAAGATCTCTAAGTGATCTGCGAACGTCTGTAGCTGTGGTGCAACAATTGACAGCGATAGAAACGCCTGGCCAGCAGGTTCTAGACGTGGAAAACGTGTCAGCATTGCAAGCATTCGGAAAAGCTGTCGAAGAATTCAAGAAACACTGCTCTGTCATAGTATCCAGGCCCAGAGTAGTTGCTGCGATCACTGGTACACTAGAACAGCCAACTAAAGCTGAAATTGTCACCATTCCTGCTAAAATCTTACAAGAATCCATCTCTACCATAGAAGAAATCAAAACTCAAGAAGCAGAGACCTTGGATACAGAGACCAAAAAACCGATAACCGTGATGAGCATTCTAATGCCCCCTCTTCAACAGTTAGAGCAATCATTCGTCGCTGCCATTCAAGGTGAGCACGTGATGGAGCACACAGCAGAGACCTTAGAAGACCAAGTGTCCTTCGAAACAACAAACTTAAAACCAATACTAGAAGAATTCCAAAAGTCAATCGCTATTATCCAAGAACACATCACAGCAGAAGCTGTGCACAGTTTGCCCGAAGCTGAGGATACTGTTCAATTGCAACTGATGGCGCAGACGTTAACTGACTTGAAGACCTCAGCAGCAGCCATTCAACAGATATCAGGAGGTGTGCCGGAGTTCACTGATGATTTATCGAGGTCCGAAAGCATCGCTGCTTTTGAAACGTTTGCCAAATCTCTCCACGACCTGGTGGAAAGGGTAGCTACCATTGATCAGCAGCAGATGATCATCGAGCCAGCGGCTGATACTATCTCAGAAGATGTTTCATCTTTGAAGACCTGGGGTGATGTTGTTGAAGAACCGAAGGTTCAGGTTGCTGGAGCAATGATCATTGATCAGGGTACCATTGAATCACCTTCAGAGATTGCAGTGTCCCTTTCTGAAGACGAAGCCCAGGCGCTGAAGACTCTAGCTAAGCCTCTTAGCGAACTTCGGGAATGCTTGGCTCTGGTGGTCGAAGAACGCAAATCAATGGACGCCAATGACGTAACCGTTGCTTTGTTTGAAAAGGAAGATTTGGCTTTACTGAAAACAATGGTCCAACCACTATTGGAATTGAGGACAGCTGCAGCATTCGTCATCCACGAGCAAACTGCAATTGAGTCTGCTAAGGAGAGATCCTTCAGTGCTGGCGGGAAAGAAGAGACACATTTGAATCCATTGATAGAACCTCTTGAAGAACTCTGTAAATCTATTGCCCTGATCCAGGATCATATACTAGTTGAGTCAACTGAAGAAAGACCAGCTGATGAAACCTCTTTGCTGACGTCTTTGGTAGAACCTTTGATTATACTACAGAAAAGCATCACCGTGTTAGAAGAACGTGTATTGTCGCCAGATGTAGCCTCATTGCCAGAGGAATCTAACTGGATCAACGAATGTTTAGCAGTTCCCTTGCAAGAGATTGAAAGGTCCATAGCAGAAATTCATGAATGTAACGTGATAGAGCCTGAGCCCTTGCCAGAGGAACGTTTATCAAGAATCATCTCTCCTGATTGGTCGATAGTTGAAAAGCTCATTCAACCAGTGGATGTTATACAATCAGTTATCCTTAACATAAAGGGTAGTGCTGTTGGAAAAGAGGACGAAATCGAATACGAGGCAGTACAAACGCTGCTCCAGCCTCTTGCTCAGGTGCAAGAAAGCTTCTTACTGATTAAGAACAAGACAGCGACCAGCGTAGAAGAAGAGGAAGCTAACATAGATGCTATAGTGGACTCTTTGTCCAGCTTGGAGAAGAGTATATCTGTCATCGAGGAACAGATACAAACTTCAGTGAAGGTAGAAGAAATGACTGAAACAGTTGGTAGCCTAGCAGAGTCTTTGGCGTCATTGAAGCAAAAGATCATGACTGTAGAAGAATCACCAACAGTGTACCTTGAGAACCTGGAACTGCCTTTGAAAAATTTGCAGCAAACGTTAGAGAGTCTTTCTGTTCTACGAAGTGAAAAATTGAAGCAAAAGAAGAAAGTGTCAGCTGTCCCGGTGGAAGAGGCTATAAGACTGTCAACGAAACTTACCATTTCTATTAATGAAATAAACGTGTCTATAGAGACTATCGATCGCAAAATTGGGAGCTATAAGGATCTACTAGGTGTCGAGATACAAATTGAGAATGAAGCTCTGAAAACGCTACCAGCACCGCTGGAGGAGCTTAAACTAGCGATTCAACATGTGATGGAGTCCAATGAGGTTGACGAATCGTGCACTATTTCTCTTCGAAAGCTTAAGAAGGCTATCGCAGTGATTTGTCAGCAATCGGCTGACAAACCTATAACTGAGCCGCCGCATTTGGAAGCAGCGGATGTTGTCGGAATGTTGAAATCATTAGCGCCGAGTTTAAATGAATTAGAAGCATCAGTTGAGACTGTAGAGACACTGTGGAAGGAGAACTTGAGTGGAGAAGGATTGGTGAAATTGGAGACACCGATTGCGAACCTGATGAACACAGTGAACGTCTTGTGCGATAAGCTAATGAGGATGGAGGTAGTTTGGATAGACGAAGAAAAGAAAAAGAAAGAGAAGAAAGAAAAGATAGAGGAGGAAGAAGAAACGATACAACAGGAGGCAGCTGAGGAATTTAAAATGGAAGAGGAACATAGAAGAGAAGAAGAAAACGAGAAGCAAACGCAAGAGGAAAAAGAACATTTGCAAAGGGAAGAAGAGGAACGTAGGAGAAAGGAAGAAGACAGACAACGAGAAGAAGAGGAAGAGGTTAAGAAGAGAGAAACAGCTGAAAGGCAGATGGAAGAAGAACGTAAGAAGCGAGAAGAAGAAGAAAGATTGAAACAAGAAGCAGACAAATTGAAGGCAGATGAAGAGCGTAAAAAGATGGAGGCTGCAGAGAAAATAAAGCAGGAAGAAGAACAACGTAAGCAGGAAGAGGAAGCTAAGCCACTTAAAGAGAAAGAGGAAAATCTGAAAAAGCAAGAAGCTGAGAAACTTGAACTGCAGGAAGAAAAACTTAAGAAGGAAGAAGCTGAGAGGCTTAAGCTGGAGGAACAGAAACGTAAGCAGGAAGAGGAAGCTAAGAAATTGAAAGAGGAGGAAGAACGTCTGAAGAAAGAAGAAGCTGAGAAGGTTAAAGTGGA